AAAATGGATAAACAAACAAACACTGCTGATAGCATGATGACGTGAATGCATCATTTAGGGAATAACTCTCATCTTAACACCATGTCAACTTCTTCATCCGGAATATAAGTTAGCCATATTATACCACATCACTTTGCTAGTAACTTGATATCCAGTTACATGTTACAACATAAATTCACTTTGCAAAAACCTACAAGTAGACATAGTGATTTCTCTGGGTAAAGGGTGAAGGAACAAATTTGACCAAAACCATAGTATTTGGACAGCTGTACCATTGGAAAAGTATTATGACATAAACAAAAAAATAAAAATAAAAAAAAAGAACCATAGAAATTCACTAGCAAAATGCCCAGGCTGACTACAAAGTAAAATAAAGAGTTCACTCCACATCGAACAAGTTCAGAATTGCATAACTTCACCCACATTGCAAGCAAAGGAGAAATGAGCTATGCTTAGTCAATCTTTTCCTTAAAACTAACCCAACCTTCAATCTCGTCTAGTCATCCATATGATAATTCATGAGACCATGTCATAATCCACTTCCTATCTCTTTCACTCTTTCACCAGCAAAAACCAAAACTCAAACAAACGCGACATACATCACCATTGCAGAGCATAAACCAACAGCAAACCCTTAAAGAGCAAACTCAAATGAAGCCCTAATATCGGAACAGTTAAAGATATAGCAATCTAGTATGACTGTATAAGAACACGTTGCAGCAAAATCAGTACCGTTGTCTCTGCTCGTTGGCCGACTCCCTGAATTCGACATCCCTCTGCCTCTGCTGCAACAAGGCGTATATACAATTGCAAGTCCGTGCTACAGAAACCTATTCACAATTTACCCCATTTAACAACATAAATATCAACCTAAAACGCAAATTTACATCTTTCTATCAGGGAAAAATAAAACCCAAAAACTGAAATAAAATAGAACTCACCGGATCATTTGCAAAAAGATCGAGGGAAGCAGGGAAGCCAAATGTGACGAGGGTATTGTTCAAATACTTAGCACAGTGCTCCAAGTTGTTGAGAGTCGCAAACACATTCTCACTGAAGAAGAAGAAAATGTTTTTCAATTCACAGGTAAAGAAAATGGGGCATATTATTTTTTTTACTAAAAATAACATGTTTTCTATTATTTATCATTTTATCTTCACTTCACCCCCATTGTATGAAACAACTTAAGATCGACAAATTCAACAATTTACAAGCCCTTTACTTCTTACCTCATACGTGCAGTGGCTGGATTAGGCGACGATATCTGTAAAATAAGAAACCCACAAAAAACGCACAAGCAAAAAGAGGAAGTTACTGTGAAAAAAGTAGCAGTTCAAAGTGTTCGAGTGACTTGTGAAAACGAGAGTGAGAAAGGAAACTGTACCCTGAGATCGGAGTCTTTTTCAGTGGGAGGCATTTTCAGTCTGATGAGAGCTCACGAGAAAGAGTGTGGTCACGCAGATGAAGGAGACGACGATTTTGCAGATCTAAAACTGGTGAGCACATTTAAAAATCAAAATTTTATAAAAACGAGCAGAAGTTCCTCATATTCCGTCTTTATCGAATGAGCCGAAATATGATTTGTTAACTAACCGAGTCAATTAGTATTAACGAGTCGAACAAAAGGTTCATACAGATTACAAACGAAACTATCCAAAATTGCTTACAATTTTTTTTCTTTCAACCTGAACAAACTCAAGTTCAACTCATTTATCAAATGAATCGATTTTAGCTCACAAATTTTTCAATTCCTTTAATGACTCAAACCCAACACATATTCTCATATTTTGACTATTTTCATTTTAGTACTTTTTTCCATAGTTAATCAATCCTAATTGGCCCGATGGGTCGATTCGGGAACTGAAATTGGAATCGATCCGAAGGGATTATTTGAACCGAGCAACAATGAACTTGGGCAACCGGCATTGACCCAGTATACTCAAGCATCAACCCGATTGACTCGGCAACTATATTTTAAAAATATAATTATGTATATGTATTTATTATGAGATACAATTATTATACTAATGTACAAAATTTATAAATAAAATATTTAGTTTTGTTACTTTTTATATATATTTATGTTTCACAATAATGGATAGATAATATTAACAATTTTAAAATTAGTTATCCGATTCAGACTCAGTGATCCGGAGATATATCTAAGTCGACCGTTTAAAAACTATGATTTTTTCCATAACGAATGGAATTATTTGTTGGTGTGTTTACGTATATAACATAACTATGTAATAAACTTTTTTACATGAATACAAATAGTTTTAATAAAACAAATCCATATCTTTCTCATCAATTCATTTTTTTCTATTTTTAAAAGTTACATACAAAATCAAATAAAAGGGGTACAATACAATTTATACTTTAATTATTTAAACTTTGAAAAGAAGCAATTCTTTTTGACGTTAGACAAAAATATTACTCATAAAGCGATTAAAGTCCCTCGATTATATCATTGGCAAAGCAAGGATTATGGCATTCCACAATGTTACAGAAAAATTAATTCACGTTCTTCTCTTTACTAGACTTTGGTGCGACGTGCATCAGTGTTTTATATCAAACTCAATTTAATCTTTTTGTATTATTGTACATGTTTAAAAGAAATCCTATCTAAACTTAGTCAAGCCTATTTTATTTCTTCAATCAAATATATTCAATTTTTTTTTTTTTGTTATAATCTCATTAACAACCCACCTTCTAAGAATTTCTATTTTGATGTTACTGTAGAATAACACTAATTATACTAGTCATTACAGTAATGATATTTTTTTGGCAAAATTTAATAAACAATTATCATAAAAGTCATTGGGCCCTCTAGATTATAACTTGGGCAGTTGGGCTTACAAAAACGGAAACTTGGGTCACTCTAATTCCTAAAGTGAGCAAGTAATCTTACTGTATAGCCAGCCCACTGAAGTTCATGATATTTCTCAGTCAAAATTCACCAAAAATGATCCTAATTAACTAGAGTAATTTACACCGGTCACCTACAAATATCTTTTTATTTTAATATTTATGAAGTTTTTTTCCCTTTAATTTGCAGATGTACCAACTCTTTTAGTTTATAAATGGTTGATTTGTAGTGTATTTTTGTAATTTGTTTCTAAATTATATATATATTTTTTGTTTATGACTCAATGACTAGACGTATATATATATTTTTTGCTTATGACTCGATGACTAGACGTGGTCATGGGCCGTTCGGCCCACCGCCCGGTTGGGAACCGATCCAGTCAAACCCGTTTGACCACGAGTCCAAGCCTGACTCTAATTTTAACCGGACCAATCTAGGGTCATCATTTTACGGCCCTAGCATGGCAGGCTGAGTCGACCCGAAAAATCAAATGTAGATTTGTTTTCATTTCTTTTTGTGGATGGGTGCAGAATCTGGGTCGGGCCAAGTCATGTACTCGATCCCGAGCCTTGGTAAAGGTTGGTTCAGGGTCTGTGTTTCCAAGCCCGGTGGCTCGTCGAGTTGGACCTGGTCCGCCAAATGACCATGTCTTTGTATGACAAAAGTATAATATTTTATTTAAAAAATCTAATCGATTGATCCACCTAATAGTGCAATCAAACCGTCTGGCACAGTAATACGTCACACAAATATGATTTCNAAAATCACCTTTGACCAACGCCACATATGCAAAAACCAAGTCATCTTACACGTGTAGCACCCACCAAAAAAATGAAATGAAACACACAACATAGAGAATAATAAAAGACGTCCGATCACTTTGCTGGAGGCTAAAAGCTCCACATTCACCCGTCATCCATTATATCAACTGCTCACATAATCAACGTATATATTCCATTTCCCACATATGGTCTAAAATCTTCATCCACAAACTACCCAAAAATATTCAGAATGCGATACATTATTCTTTGATCCCGATAAAAAGATAATCTGTTTTGATTCCTTCATATCTTGTTGACACATATAAAGATTCTGATTATTACCACTAGACCAGATTTTTTCTTTCTACAGTACAGTGCAGCAAGTGTAATACACTAATTTCCTATATAAGCCGAGCCAAGCAATCGCAAAATATTCACCCGACACTCCAAAACACACTAACAAGAACTTGTCTAGTTTACTCATATACAACATACACCAATAATATGAATGCAATGTTGTACACCAATGGAAACAACAAAAACTATACGCCGTACGTAGGCTCAGAGCCAGTCTACCCGGACCACTTGCCTGGCCAACAACATGCGATCGTGGCCCGCTTTGCGAGCCACAACTCCCAGAGCTACATGTTCGCAACCGAACAGCTCGTCCAGCTCAGGCGGGCTGAGGTTGCGGAGGATCGCAGCCTCAGCCCGCCAGCTGGAAGTGAGGTGTACGCCAGGGACCGCGCTGCAGGGGATAAATACCCTTACGCCTCCAGATTCCAACCTCCGCCTGCGTACGCTCGGCCCAAGGGACCAGGCCCAGCCCAGATCGGTTTCCAGAAGGAGAAAAGCCCTACTTTGGTAAATTACCACTATGACCCTACGCCTTTCTATAGTGAAAATGACGATCATGATCAAGATATGTATGCCGACACTACATGTAAGGGGCCGATAAAGCCCGATTGCCTTTACGGTAAGGGTAAAAAGGCCGACGACGACGGCGAAGTTTACACTAATATTCGAAACCGTGACCGGAGACCGTATAACGGGCCCGTAAAGCCCGATTCCCTTTACGGTACCGTTAAAAAGCCCGACAATGCTTACACTAGCATTCCAAACCGTGATCGGACACCGTACGACGAGGGGCCCAAGCGTAATTACGGTTATGCCCCTCGTGGGCCGAAGATTCCACCGCAAATCAAAACTATGGTGGGAGACTCGGAGTTCGGGAATAAGGAGAAGCCGAATAAACCGCAACAGGGCAACAACCGGGAAGTCATAGATAGCAGCGAAGCGCGTAAAAGGTACGGGAGGCCGGGTGGGACCCACGTGGAGGAGAAGTATGGGGGGACGATCGACTGTAGGGAGGCTGCGAGGAAGTATAAGGGCGTGTTTGTTACCGATTGAGGTATGAATGCAGGGGAGTTTATTAGTCAAGGTTGTAAAAGGCTCTTGTAGGAATATTATCAAACAGGTGGTGTGCGAGGGTTTTTGTGCTGTGTTGTTTGCTTTTGGGTTTCGAAGTTGGGTTTGTGTCGTTTGTGTGTGTGTGTGTGTTCGTTTCTTGATGTGTAGTGGCTTGTCGTGATTAGGCGAGTTGAGTCAAGAAATGGCGTGTTATCCTTACCAATATACGAACTCCTCTTTTTTCTTGCTATTCTCGTTTTTTTCTATTGCAAGTACATCATATTTTTTTAGCATAGCAATTAGCATGTATGTTTTTCGTTAAATATCACGTGCTTAGAAAGTGTGTCTATTTATTAAAAACAATTTTGATAAGAAGCTAACAATTGACTTCATAGTGAGCCAACCTTCTATATATAACAAACAAATTAATTATATTCTCTGATTATTTAAATAAATATTAATAATTTTATTAATATACTAGTAATTTTATTAATAGTAGAATCAACTGTTGACTTCATAACAAAACTGTTATTACAAATATAAAATTATAACAGATTAACAGTGGGTCTGAGCTAATATTTAAATGTAGTTCTATCGTTTTGGAAGATACAAGAGCGAACCACAAATTTTAGCTTTATCGTTTTGGAAGATACAACAAATCACAAATTTTTATGTGAAGCGTCCTAATATTAGATGGATGGACTCGTCTATATTTTTAATAACGATACATACATATGTTAATGGAATATCATATTTTAATTTTCTTATGATGTTTGTTATAGTATAATATTTTAATTCAAAAATATTTTTTGTTTAAAATGTATTGTTATCTAGGCAAACAATGTTTCTGTGAAATGTTGTCAATTAGTTCCAATAATTGAATGAAAAAATCGTTCTTTTTTGCCTTGCCCAGTTATTTCATGTTTTCTATATCAAGAAATACAATTTTTCCCTCTTAATATCAAATCCATGCGAAGGTTCTAATGTGACGGTTAGCATTTAGCACAACCAGTCATTCTCATATTGACTCTAGATATTTTTTTTATGTTATTATTCTTATTATTATTTTTTACCTACTTTAGAGCACCCACAATGCTTTGGGTCTCTTAACAAAAAATCACATGCCACATGGGAAATAGACTTAGTCTATAAAAAATATTTCTCAATGCAATTAAAAGTGGACATGGTCTAGCTTATGTGGCAATGAAAAAAAGAGACCAAGTCCACACTTGGGTCTATTTTGGACCCAAGTACAAACCCAAACACTCATCATTTGTTCTTAATTTAATTTCTTTTTAATGAATAAAACATATTAGAGCATTTCTATTGGTTGGCATGTATGTTAGACCTAGTCTTTTTATTTTTGCATTGCAAAGTTTTTGAGTTTTTTTACTTAGGTTTGTCCATGTTATTTAAAACTCAAGTCCAATTATATGCCACATATACAAAAAGAGACCCAAAGCATTGTGGATGCTCTTATACAATTTTCCTCTGAGTTTATTAATAGACCAGATCAACACAATTCAGTTTAGTTCGTGAAAGTTTGAGCTCGATTCATTTCATTTACTCTATTGAGTTTGTTTCTTAAGTAAACTTGTTCACAAGCAACTTTTTTTTTATGAATTTTAAATGAAATAATCAAGCTAAATTTGTTTGCGAGTAACTCATTTATAGTTTTAATTTATTAAAAGGGCACGAGCTCAAACATGAGTTACATCTCGTGTCTTGATTGGAGTTAAATAACACCTAAATAACACTCTAAATTTTTAATGTCCTGCGTATTTTTCATTCATTCATGGCTATAGAAAGTCCAACGCACCTTTATGGGACGATTCCATTAATGTATATGAAATTGAATTATTGATCCCACCAAGAAACTACCTTGTGTTTGCTGTTTCTTTTGTTTCCGAAGTTTCCAAGCGGACCAATTTATTAACTTAATTGGTTTGGACTATATTTCGTGTTATGTTATTTCTATACATGCATGATTCGAAGTTTCTAAGTTATCAAATTATTGAAATACATAAAATGGTGTAGTTTTTGAAACATAAGTTTTTAGGCCATGTTTTAATTTGATACTTCTAAGTGTGTCATAGGAAGCATGAATTGAATTAGAGACGATTAGACGAATGGAACTGATTGATGATATATTGACCAATTGGACATCCTAATCATTTGGGCAGTAGTAAATGACTAAATGTAACTCGGCGGTCAAACAACTATTCAGAGTTCCATAGAAGAATTCATGTTCATTGAATTCATTTCTACGTGACTTCATAGTATTTTAATTAAAAAAAAAATTCACTCATTGTCAGTTTAAATTTTTTTATCATTGAATCAAGACACATTTGTATAAGTACTAGTAAAGTGTACGTGGGATGCACGTGGTGGTGAATGTTTCTTGCCAATTAAGTTTAGTAAAATAAATTAATTAATTTATTAAAATAACCTTACTTTGACATATTTTTAAAGACAAATTAGTAATACACTAATACATATTTTATTTTATATTTTTTATTAAAAAATAATTACCTAAAAAATCCTTACTTTAATGTAAAAACTCTTAAAACGTATCCTTATCGATGTAAATGAATCGAATTGTTTTTTTTTTTTAATTTTTTGTGCTTATTAGTTCTATGTGTAACTTTTAGGTGATAGATAATAGTTATTTGTACTTTTATCCATGTAGGTTGGAAATTTTAATATTTAAAGAAAATGATAATTCTAATTTTAAATAACTTTTTATTTGTTATTAGTTTTTTAATATAATATATAAATATCATATTACAATATAAATAATAATTATTTTTGTTGTTTAATATTAATACGTAAAAGGTTGTAATTTAATTGAGAAATTAATAGGTTATCTTGTGTTAAAATAACGAGTGGTTTCTAAAAGGTTATATGGACTAAAAAGTTCATGTGTTTAATATATTTTTAATAAAAGAAATTGTAACTCAATAAATAAAGAGAAAAACTACAACATAAAAGTTTTAATGTTTAAAAAGAAATACAAAAAATAAAATGCTATATTGCAATGAAAAATCGAACAAGAAGATGTTCCACTAAATATTCCAAAGTATATTTCATTTGCATAGCTTTCGTGAAAATATCACTAGCTATTCCAACATAGATCAAATTAAATTTTAATGGAATTTTAGTGGATTTAATGATTCGAATTACCATTATTTATTTTCTTGTGTGAATTCATTTGATTTTTCTTTCGGAACATATTTCTACCGTTGGAAAATTTTTTATTGGAATTGTAAAGAATTCAATAAAGTTGCATTGAAAAGCTAATTGCAGTGTTAGATACTTGGGAGCACTATTTAGCTAATAGAAAAAATGTACCATCAAAATAACATAATGTCATTACAATATATAAATTATACTTTTCATAATTTGTCATCTTTCTCATCTGTAATTATTGAATGTAAAATCCATATTTTTAAAGGATATTTTACTTATTTATTGAATGTAAAATCCATATTTTTAAGTGTTAATAATTAAAATATTACTCACCTTGATATTAACCATCTAATGGTCAAGTGAAAATTGTTATTTAGGTTGATGTTGGGTTGATTTTTGGAAGATATGTGGAAGAAAGCAATTTCGTGAGAAATAATGGTGCGTGAATATTGTGTTTGATTTTTAGGAGATGTGAAATGTATTGTTCATGTATTTGTATTTAATTAATTAAGCATTAGTTATTAATTAAAAATATAAGATATGATAGATATTAGTGTATTACTAATTTACCATTAGAAACATGTTAAAGTAAGGATTTTTTAAGTAATTATTTTTTAATTAAAAATATAAAATAAAATATGTATTAGTGTATTACTAATTTGCCATTAAAAATATGTCAAAGTAAGGTTATTTTAGGTAGTTCATATTTTTACAAAAATACTCTTCCTTTTAGAGTAGTAGTATAGTATAGTATAGTATAGTATATAGATATAGATATAGATAGATATAAATATAGATAGATAGATGTATAACTATATATGATTAAGCGAAAATAAACTTGATCACACATCTCAAGTTGACCCTTCCTTAATGAATCTGTAAAATATTTGTTAATAATAAAGGAAACTCAAAGCCAAAATAAACTTGATCACACATCAGGTTGAACCTTCCTTAATGTAAAATATATGTTAAAAATAAAGAAAACTCAGAAGCACAAATAAACGTCATCACACATATCAGGTTGAACCTTCCTTAATGAATCTGTACAATATTTAATTATTTATTAATAATAAAGGAAACTCGAAGCTGATCACACATATCAGGTAAAAAATTTCAACTATAACGGAAAAAGATGAATATCATCTCATTAACATCATATATGATTGAATATTTCATGTTGCAATATAAAAAATAAACAATCATGTCCACAAATTTAAAGGAAGTAACATGAGTCACGCCCACTAAATTAAACGATTATGGTTCGGCTCGTTAAAGATGGAGTTTGGCTCTATTCGTTTAGCGGCTTGAGCTCATTTAAAACCTGTTTGGTTAAGGAGTTCGGTTTGGCTTGATAAGACTCATTTTTTTATTTTATTTTTTCATAGTTCAAATAGTTAAATTCAAAATCGACTCGTTAAGAATTCGAATTCGGCACAACTCGTTTACGGGCCTCACTCGTGCCATAAGATCATTGAACCGACCCATTAACCCATTAGCCATGTCTCTTACCAAATTTTGTCAATTGAAAAATCCCTATTAAAATATTAGTGAAAAGCATGGCCCTGCCTGTATATATCGGGAATCATCCAGACTCTAGAAATTTGCGACCGTTGACCTTGGGTTGACGTTGCTTTTTGCATATTTAATTTTCACATTGATTGTAGTAACTTTATAATTTGACAAAAGAATATGGTTTGACAGCGTTGACCATTGTTGCACAACGATTAATGTTGCAGTTGACAAAATTAACTAAACATCCAACAAATACAGTAACTGTTAATGCGATATACGCGGGAGTTGACCTTTTCTTC